TGTGGACTTTAAAATAATGTATAATCTGCAGTCATTGAATGGAGTATTCTATGAATGTAAATTAGGTCAATTTTACTGATAATATTATTTGAATCTTTCATATCCTTTCTGATTTTTTGCCCATTTGTATAATTCCATTTTCTGTACTTTCCATCCTTTTTAGTTTTGTTCACATATATTTTCCTCTACGTGCCTTGCAAACATTACAAGATATTATTTTTTTAAAAAACTATGAACTGACTTTTAAAATGTTTAAGAAAGAAAGATAGTCTTTTATATTTAACCATGCATTTTTCATTTGATTTTTAAATGGTTGTGTAATACTTGTACATAGTTATGTTATGCATGTGATATTTTGATACATACACAGAATGTGCAATGATCAAGTCAGGGTATTTGGGATATCCATCAGCTCAAGCATTTATCATTTATTCGTATTAGGAATAATTCAAATCACCTTTTCTAGCTATTTTAAAATATATAATACATTGTTGTTGTTAACTATAGTCATTCTACTGTGGTATTAAACATTAGAACATATTTATTCTATCTAACTACATGTTTGTACCCATTAACCAATCTTTTTTCATCCCAACCTCACATATATCCTTCCTGGCTTCTGGTAACTATCATTCTACTCTACCTCCATGAGATCAACTTATATTTAGCTCTCACATGTGAGTGCAAACATGTGAAGTTTGTCTTTCTGTAGCTGGCTTATTTTACCTAACGTAATAACCTCCAGTTCCATCCATGTGGTTGCAAATGACAGGATTTCATTCTTTTTTATGGCTGAATAATGCATAGACTACATTTCCTCTAACTATTCATCTATTGATGGACACGCATTGTTTCCATATCTTTGCTGTTGTGAGTAGTGCTGTGATAAACATGGGGGTGCAGGTATCCTTTTGATATACTGATTTCCTTTCCTTTTGATCCATTTTCACTAGTGGGATTGAGAGCTCATCATTCTTTCCTGTGCACCACAAATTTCACCTGGCATCAATTTCTTCTACTTTCATATTAGCATTTCTTAGCAGCTATATAGCTAATAAATTATTTATTTTGTTCATGGAACTTTAATTTTTCCTTCATATTTGAAAGCTATTTTTTGGGGGGTGGGTGTAGAGGTGAGGGGAAAACTTCCTCTCTTGTATCTAAAAGTTCACTGAAAATTAACAAATGTAACAAATTAATGTAACAAATTTACAATAGCTGGATACTAGAAAGAAAAGGCATACCAGTGTATTTAACATGGGAGTTAAATACTAGCAGGACACTAGAAAGAAAAGGCATACCAGGGGAGTTGCTAGAGAATGATAACTCAGTAACTCAATGAGGTCCAGATGCTTCAATACCCTTCTTCACAGGGGAAAGGGAGATGGGAGAAATGTGGTCATTCTGAAGAGCAGGGAAGATGGATGGACCCAATACTCAGACTATTTTTAATAAATAATTCTTTTTAGGCATTGAATAGGATTAGAGATAAAGATCATCTGGGTTCTAGGTGTGCTGTTTAATTTTTAGAAATTTTTTTCTCTGTAATAAGAGTTGTAATCTTCCCTAAATAATTAAATTTCAGGGAGGAGATTGAAGATAATTGTGCTTCTCTTTGGTGGGTTCAGTTTCCAAGTAGATAAAAGAACTTCAGAGAATAGCCTGTGCTTTGGAACAGACAAAGTATTGAGAGATGGAGTGAGGAGGGGAAGGTCAGAGAGAATTGAGGCTACTTCTTTAGTTGTATGTCAAAGTGCCATGTTTTGGGGTATCATTTTCTGAGTTCCAGCATTGGATGTACAATGCTAGGTTGATAGTGTTTTACTTTCAGCATTTTGGGATTTCCGTGGTTTTTGTTTGTTTGTTTGTTTTCTGATGAGTAGTTTGTTGTCATTCTCGTTGTTCACATGTTAAATTCAACAACTGAGATGGCTTTGGATAGGACCACGTCTTTAATACATCTAACAGAAAGGTCTTTTCTTGCTATTCATCCAGCACATAACTTTTGGCGTTGATAAGTGATTGACTGCCTTTGATCCACTGGTGAGCTTGGGGAGGGGCTGACTGTAGCTTTGTTTAGATTCAATCTGCCTCTACTGTTAAATGCTTTCTAGGTGACTTTAAGCTACCGGCACCAGGAAGTCCCTGGGACCATGCATTGCAAACTTTGAGATCTCAGAACTGTGAGACTTTGGATCTGCTTGACCATGAGCCTTTAAGACTATGAAACCGCAAATGTTGTGGCTCTGGGATAGTTGGACTTTGAGGCTGTGAGACTGCAATACTAAGGCTGCCTCTTCTGAGAATGAGAGTCCGGGATTCCTTCTCGTTGGCGCACACCATACATTAGTCACGGGATTAACTCCTATAAAGCATTGCTAGGTCATAAAACAAATATTTTTATCTGGAGTATGCGATCAAATTTTAAACGTTGTTTTAAGATGTGTGTGTATGTGTGTGTGATACTTAGTCTACTAATTATGCCGAACTTAGAAGGGGCAGCCAGTCATTTGAAGGTGGATAAGTTTCTATTGCACGTTTGGATTCGATAAATAATGCCATAGGCCCACAGACTCACCTGCCTGGGGAGGTGGAATGTAATGAACACAATCAGTAGGGAATTGAGAGTGCTGAATAGAAGGTTCCACAGTTAGGCTGTAGAAAAACATGACACACTTTTACTCTATCTAAAACAGTAAGAAACCACCAGATCCCATCTCTCTTCCTTCCCCAATACATATCAAAGCGGTATGGACACAAGGACATTTTAAAAGAACTAAACTCCACAGGGAGGTGTCCTTTCCAGGTGAGCAGGGATGGAGGACAGCTTCATACCTGTGCCACATGCTAATGCTGAAAGCAGGGGATGTGGAAGAGCAATTCTGTCAAATAAAGCCATTCTCCATTTGGATGAAGAGAAAATGTTCAAAGCTTTGACAAACCTGGGAGCTGAAATGTTGAATTTAATTCTCAAGAAATTCCTCGCCACTAAGTCATTCTTTTACATGGGAGTTTTGCTGCAGAAGGGGCTGAAAAACAGAAAGGGAGACTCTTCCTTCTTTATAAGACACTTTGTGATACATAATAGTAATTACATCAATTGCCTAATTTCAGAGCTATTAGCTAGTGGGTGTTTTTTGTGTAGTAGAAATGTCAAAGATTATGCAAGATAACCTAAATCCACGGGTGCTAGGAAAATACAATCAAGGTTGCCGGGCGCGGTGGTTCAAGCCTGTAATCCCAGCACTTTGGGAGGCCGAGACGGGCGGATCACGAGGTCAGGAGATCAAGACCATCCTGGCTAACACGGTGAAACCCCGTCTCTACTAAAAAATACAAAAAACCTAGCCGGGCGAGGTGGCGGCGCCTGTAGTCCCAGCTACTCGGGAGGCTGAGGCAGGAGAATGGCGTGAACCCGGGAGGCGGAGCTTGCAGTGAGCTGAGATCCGGCCACTGCACTCCAGCTCGGGTGACAGAGCGAGACTCCATCTCAAAAAAAAAAAAAAAAAAAGAAAATACAATCAAGGTTAAGGTTAAGGTCTTTGAAAATGGATTTCATTAAATAGGCAAAATTATCTTACTTGGTTTTCACTTTGGCCATTTGCGAAAGCAACGGATTTTCTTTTTATTGGTTGACATTGATTGCACACAGCAAGTAGGTTTTATATATGAATATTAGAAGCTGAAAAGAAGAAAGTAGATGATTCATAACGAAGCAGGCACATCGGTATGCTAGCTGACATCCCGTCTTAAAGATGAGGTGTGATTGGGATGTTGAAAAAGTTCTGGGGAAGGATGGTGGTGGTGGTTGTGTAACAACATGAATATGCTTAATGCCCTGAATTATTTACTTTAAATTGGTTATAATGATAAATTTTTTGTTACCTATATTTACTCCACTTAAAAAATATATTAGGTGTGAGCCTTTGGATTTCATCTGCAGCAAAAAAAGTTCCCCAATAATTGTTCATCCAAATAAAGGCTTTGAAGTACAGTGTTAGTAGACCAAATAGCTTTTGTGCTGTGTGTATTTTTGCTTAAACTTCACAAGGAAATGTGAAAATGAAGAAGATATAAATCTGAGTTGCGTTATCTCCCTCCTGTAACAACAATTAAATTGTTGAAGAGTAGGAGGCTGTAGAAATTTCAAACTAATTACTAGCCAATTGGGTGACTTGGAGATTTTTTTCCTTCCCCTTTTCTCTTTCTAGGCTTCTTTTAAAAAAAAAAAAAATCTGTAAAATGGTGATAATGATAATGGAAAGTGCTTAGCATAGCGACTGGCCTCAATTAATGGTGACAATTACTTCAATAAAATCCTTTCCTTCTAAAAGCAGATTGTCAGTTATCTTCCATTCTTCAGTGATTATGAACATTAGGAACATGGGAATTTCATTGTATTGTTAATTTTGTAAAGCTTTTGGGTGTCATGCCTCAGGACTTACTAGAATTGCTTTATTCATAAAATTTTTTAAAGGGATTTTTTTTTTTTTTTTTTTTTTGAGATTCTCACTGTATTGCCCAGGCTGGAGGGCAGTGATATGATCTCGCTCACTGCAATCTCCGCCTCCTGGGTTCAGGTGATTCTCCTGTCTCAGCCTCTCGAGTAGCTGGGACTACAGGCATGCGCCACCATGCCTGGCTAATGTTTTGTATTTTTAGTAGAGACAGGGTTTCACCGTGCTGGCCAGGCTGATCTCAAACTCCTGACCTGATGATCCGCCTGCCTCAGCCTCCTAAAGTGCTGGGATTATAGGCATGAGCCACCGTACCCGGCCTAAAACGGATTTCATAAAGAATAATGTGAAATATTTCTGAAAACAAACAAACAAACAAACAAACAAAACATGATGCAGGATTTTCACCCAACCCATATTTCGTTTGAAATATGTGAGAAATTAGGTATGTTCTCAGTATGAGTTTGTGAAGTAACAAATATAGTTTTCCACTGAAATTCGGTGATAACACAGACCTCACTGGCTCTCGTTTCTTCTCTGCAGACCTTTGCAGGAAACATGAATGCTGACAGCGTGGTGCACCACAAGCTGCTGCACTCAGTGAGGGCCCGATTTGTTCGCTTTGTGCCCCTGGAATGGAATCCCAGTGGGAAAATTGGCATGAGAGTCGAGGTCTACGGATGTTCCTATAGTAAGTACTTACATGTACCCTTTACCATTGCTGAGTGTGAGTGGCATTGCCTACGTAATATCAGTTTATCTACATTGAGACTGACAATCATCTTATTTTAAAGTTGTTTCTAGACTTTCATATGCATATTTTAAAATGTTCGATTTAACCCCAAAGTAGAAAAAACATTCTACTTAGGGCTGAAGGGACTTAGTTGTGATAGTGTAATAAAGGCTCAATGAAACATTCAAAATTAAGAACTCTTGGGGAATCAAGCAACCATTTGTCCTTTGTAGTTAAACAAAATTAAGTTTAGTCCTTGCCCAAAAGTGGCATAAGGTATTATAAAGTTTTCTCTGCCCTGCTTTCGCAGAGCTATGAAAGAAAAGCATTCACTTTCTTGACTTGTTCTAGAAGAAGAAGAGAAAGAACAATAAATGTAATTCACAAAATGCTTTCTCCTTGAAATGATCTCCTTCATCCATTCATCTGTGAATTGTTTGTACTAAATTTGAAATTAGAGCTCTATCTTGGACACGAAGCAGATTATAAACATGGGTAGAACTAGTGATCACTTTAGAATAAGGTTAAAGTTATTCAGGGAAGGTTCCTATCCCTATGATTCTTTCCTGCAGGCTTTATACTGAAACCTAAAATCGCATAATAATAAATTTTATTTTTCTGCCACAAGCAGTGACATATTCTGCTTATATGCTAAAATCCAATGACACCTAATGCATAAACACATTTGATCACTAACACTTTCATCCAAACTAGTTCAGTAGATTCCTGTTTTGGGCTGTAGGAGTGCCTAATGAGTGACATGTTTGTACTGTTTTCCATAGTGAGATCAACTGAATGCCTGTATCAGAATCAACAGGAGTGTTGCCTAGAAAATGCATTTCCCTCGCCCCATCCCATACATACTGGATTTTAATTTCTGAAAACGGAGACCCAAAAAGCTGAATGGTTAAAAATTCTCCAAGTAAACTATGGACATAGAGTGTTTGCTAGAAATAAAGCCCTGCACACAGGGAATGTACTGGTAAAAATGACTGTATTTATCTTGAACAAACACTTTCAGAAAGAATGTAGTTTAGAACAGATGCATCAACAAACCAGTAGGCCCAGGAGGAACTGCCTTCCACTTCAAACTTTGTATGATAAAGCACAGAACACCTACAAGGGTATATGTGTCCTATCCTGGGATCTCTGGGGCATCAAGATTCTCTTGTTACCTCCTCTTTGATAACAATTTGTCACTGCTGGGAGGTTATTTTTAAATATAGTGTCAAGCTTTTATGCTACAATTAAAAGTTTGTGAATATCATTATACCAGCTATCTATTTTGATCTAAGAATCTTATTACTCTTTAACATGTCCTTATCCTTTTGGTTTTTCTCAGTCCATTCAGTTGTACTTCTTTTTCATGCTCATTGTTCACCCACACTGTCTGCTTGCACAGAAAGAGTCACAGCATCAAGTTAAATCACAGGCTGCAGGCTTGAAAGATGTCTTTGGGCAGCATGTTTAGCATCTTCTGGTGATGGACCCCTTTGAGAATCTGACAAGGAACACTCTACTCAGAAAAATAATAACGATAACGTGTACCTTTTCTACGGTATAAGAAGGTTCAGAGGTCTGCTAAAGCCCAGTTCTAAGCCAAGGGAAGAATTCTCGACTTTGTGATAACAGAGTCTACCTCTCTCCATGTAGGCTCCAGGTCTAGTGCGTCCTACGATGGGATAAACTGCCTTCAGGTCAACCTCACCAGTAATGGGAAGTTAACAACCTTGGAGAGTCATTGAACGCAGAATGTGTTTCTCTATGATGTGCCTCAAGCAGGAACCCTATAATCTTCAATCAGTAGTGCTGATGCTTTGGTACTTTTTTTTATTTGGGGGAAATAATTTTTAAAAAAGAATACGTTTATCAGTTTGTATCTAAAGCTAATGGGTTAGCATACCTTCTGAAGCCAATTCTCCTTTCAGCATTATCATATTTTTTATTTGACTGAATTGTTTCGTTTCTTCCTTCCTTTCTCTTTCCTTCCTTTCTTTTTCTCCTTCCTTCCTTCCTTTCTTCCTTCCTTTCTTTCTCTCTTTTTCTTTCTTTCTTTCTCTTTCTTTCTCTTTCTTTCTTTCTTTTCTTTCTTTCTTTGTCTCTCTCTCTCTCTCTCTCTCTTTCTTTCTTTCTTTCTTTTTCTTTCTCTTTCTTTCATGGAGCCTCACTCTGTTGCCCAGGCTGGAGTGCAGTGGCATGATCCAGCTCACTGCAACCTCCACCTCCCGAGTTCAAGTGATTCTCCTGCCTCAGCCTCCTAAGTAGCTGGGATTACAGGTGTGCATCACCATGTCTGGCTAATTTTTGTATCTTTAGGAGAGACGGAGTTTCACCACGTTGGCCAAGCTGGTCTCGAACTCCTGACCTCGTGATACACCCAGCTTGGCCTCCCAAAGTGCTGGGATTACAGGGGTGAGCCACCGCACCCAAGTCTGACTTGATTGTTTCTATAAACATAAAATCTTATTGTAAGCACCACCAAACAAAACAACAAAACCCATGACCCTCTTTAGCAACTACCTCTCCTTTTCCTCCTCTCTCCTCTCAACTTCTCTTTAGTTGCTCTCCCCACCTGCTCACCTCCCTTCACACTGCAACTGATTCCAATCAATATTGAGACATTTGGTGGGCAGTTTAACATGTCGACTTGGCCTAGTTATAGTCCCCTGTTATCCAACCAAACACTAACATAGTTACTGCTGTGATATACTTGGTGTCTACAATCATTTGACTTTAAGTAAAGGAGATTATCCTAGGTAATCTGAATGGACCTAATTCAGTCAGTTGAAATGCTTCAAGAGCAGAACAGAAATTTCCCTGAGAGAGATGAAAATTCACCTGTAGACTGCAGTTTCACATCCTGCCTGAGAGTTTCCAGCTTCCCATTCTTGATGGCCCGCCATATGTATTTCAGGCGCGTTTAACCAGACCCACAGTTGTATAAGCTAATTCCTTGCAATTAGTCTCTTAATATATATAAGTATCCTACTGGTTCTGTTTCTCTAGGGAAACTCTAAATAATACAGAATGCTCTAGAGAAACTATTCTTCTGAAGACCACCAGTGATTTCCAAGAAGCCCAATTCAGTGGACACTTAATGTTTCTGTATTCACTCAAGCTCTCAGCAGTATTTGATTCAAAAAGCTATGTCCATATTTTTAAAACCTCGCTTTTCCTCCTGTCTCACTTGCTAATTGGCTATCTCAGTTCTTCTACTACTTTTCCATCTACACTCCATGCTTTGCTGAATTGATAGAGTTTTGTAAATTCAAACACGTCTATATGCTGGTCACCCCACATCTGTATCTCATGACTTGACCTCAGAGATGATGTGCGCAGCAGCCTACTTGATATTTCCACTTAAAGTATAGTAGATATATCAAATAGAATATAGCAGAATGGAACCCTTGATTAGTGGTGCCCTCAGCAACCTGCTCTTCCATAACACTCCTCACCATCTCAGTAAACGGCAGCACTCTCCATCAACTTGCCTATGCAAAACTCTGGGAAGGAGCCTTGGTTCTTCCTTCTCTATTACTTCAAGTCTTATGCAACTTACCTACAGCTAACAGTAACTCTATCAGTTACTTCCTACGAAATGCATCCTAAATCCATGTACTTCTCCCACCTTTGTGAGTAGAAGCCTCTGTCGGTTCTTACCTGGAGTTGTTAAGTAACCTTCTGTCTGGAGTTCCTGTTTCCACACCACAATCTCCCCAAAACCATTTTTAACACAGTCAACAAAATGTTCTTTATAAAGAAGGAATAAAACCATAGCATTCCCCTTCTTGATTCACGTGAAATAAAATTGAGATTTCTTACTGGTAAGTAAAAGTCCTTGTTGAACGATTGTTCCCAGAATCTACAGGGTTGACTCCTTCTACCAATGTGATTCTTAATTTTAATGTCACCTCTTCAGAGAAGTCCCCCCGACTCTTCGTCTAGTTACCTGTCTTCCTTCTTGTGCACCCATCATTAGCCCATTATTATATGCCCATGGATATGTGATGTGCTGTCATTTACTTTGTGTTGTTCACCACAAAACAGAATCTCACTGGCAGGTTTGCTTACTTCTTTCTTGTTTGCCTACTCTAGTACCTGCACAGGAAAATGTACCATGAGATCAGGCACCTTGTCTACTAACAGCCAGCACTTAATTGGCACAAAAAGACAGTCAGTATTTGTTGAGTGGGTATATAGATCTATCAATCCAGCCTCATTCTCTCAGCTTAGGCAACCAGGTTCTTCCGGAATTACTTGGTTTTAATAAACCTGTTGTAGTTTCTAAGAAACTACTTTTGTTTCTATGGGCTTAGTAATTTTTTCAAATTTTAGTTGCGTATGTTGCTAAAGATGGGTAGAATTCTTACAGCTCTATAGTTTCTTCAGACTTAACCCTTTATAGTTTGGAAAAAGTAACATATTTCTTCCACTAATTTATTCATTCAGTAGATACCATTTATTTAGCCTTTAAGATACCAGACATCTTGCAATGCTCTAGGAACATCAGAAAAAATAAGACCTTTTTCTGGACTCTGTCAGTCTTGTATTTGTACTCGGAAGCACTTTTCTTGTGATTACATGTCATCAGTTAACTGTGGGATTGTCTAACGTCTGCTTCCCCTGACTCGACAAGACAGCTTTCCACAATGCCCTGGATTGTCAACATTGTCAAATGTTGGAACCTGAAATTCTATTAGAGAGAATACATCCTAATGAACCTTCTAATACTCAGGTGATTTTTTTATTCACAAAATCAAAGTTAGCCACCTACGATTCCTGAGCATAGGCAGCTCCAGGTACAAAGTTTAGCTGTTGACCGGGCCAAGAGCTTCTGGGCTAGCGTGCTTCCAATCCCCTATCCCTTACCTGTGTTCTCAGACCTAGTTCTACATAAGAATCACCTTGGGACATACATGCTTTTAACATGCCTGCTCTAACTGCGCTTCGATTAGATC